CTATTTGGTGATATTGAATCCAGCCGTTACAATACTGTTTAATTTCTTCATACAATTTGATTTTTAATTGGCCCTGTTCTACCTTTATTAATTGTTGGTAAGTTGCCCAATTTGTGCCCATGTTTGTCTTTTTTACCGTTATCATCTCCACTGGGGATGCCCACCAGGGTATTTTGGGCTCTAATAGTCTGTAGTACTTATCCCAGACCTTGTATAATGAAATTCTTACTACAGTGGTGCCCCGCAAGACGAAATTAATTCGTTCCGCAAGTTTTGTCGTCTAGCGAATTTTTCGTCTTGCGAATCACGAAATCCCATAGGAATGCATTGAAAATCAATTAATGCGTTCCTATGGTCAAAAAAAGTCCAAACAAAGCCAAATTTGGTACAACAACAGTTTATTAACTGCTCTTTAAAGTCACACATACTGTAAAGAGCAGTTCAAAAATTGAAGGGAAAATAAATTAACTTTATAAACATGACAGAAAAACATTTAAAAATCAACAAAGTGTACAGTACATTTTCTAAGACTCTGGGGGACCACTCGAAGAAGGCTCCTCTTCCACTCTTTGCTTCTTGCTCAAGAACCTGTCCATAGTCTGCTGCTTCATCCGCCTTTTCAGCACCTCCCTGAAAGACGACATGACCCTCGTATCAAAAGTGTTCGCAAGGTCACGTGTCAGGTCCTTGTCAGGGTGGTGCCACTGTGCAAAAGCCTGCACATCTTTCCACTTCTGACAAATGTCCCTCAGTTCTTTGGAGGACACAACCTCCAGGAACTCCGCTGCAAAGTCTTCAGCCGCAGGAACATCAGAACTGGCAGCCTCTCCATGCCTGGCCACGCTGTGGATGCCAGATCTTGTCTTGAACCGTTCAAACCAACCTCTGCTTGCCTTGAAGACTTCTGGCTCGCCTGAGGTTCCTGGCTGTTCCCGGATGAGGTCAGCGTGCAAGGCCTTGGCCTTCTCACAAATGACGGCCTCAGACACTGTGTCCCCTGCACGCTGCTTCTCTTCTATCCAGATGAGCAGCAACTTCTCGACCTCCTCCAGAACAGCTGGGCGGTTCTTCACGATCCTGGTGACTCCCTTGGCTGCATCAGTCGCCAGGATCTTCTCCCTCATCTTCAGGATGGTCCCGATGGTTGATGGATTCCTCCCGTACTCCCTGGCGATGTCCGTCACACGCATTCCGCCGTCGTGCTTCCGGATGATCTCCTTCTTCATTTCCAGCGTCACCTTCTCCTTCTTCCTCTCGCCGGCCACCGCAGCAGCAGTCTTCTTGGGTCCCATGGCAGCACAGCTCTTACCTTCGTAAACTCAGAAAAAGAAAAAAAAATCAGTGATGTGCTTCAAATCCAAAAAATTCAAAAAGCACCCAACCACCACCACACAGAAATAAACCCAGAACCAAGTCCTTGAATCCCAAACACCCCAACCCAAAATCCAAAACCCCCCAAAAAAGTGGCACTGGCCACTTTGTTGTATGTTAGGTAGGCGTGCCATCCAACCTCGTATTCCAACCTTCTAAATCTAATATATCAGCCTTCTTCAAGAAGGTGGGGTTGTTTTAAATGGTTGTTAAATGTGTTACGTTGATTTAGATTTTGTATTTGTGGGCTGGAGTGTTGTTTCAGGGCTCTTGTATTGTTTATTAGTGTGCATACATTGGTCTTGTGGCTATTTTTAGTATGTTTTTATTATTTTAATTTATATTATGTTCTGATATTTTTATTATGAATTTTGTGCAGTGATTATTCTTATTATTTATTTTGTGCTTCATATACTTGGTGTTGTGAACCACCCTGAGATTCAAAATGAATAAAATCAACAATCAAAAACAACATCAACAAGAAACACAACAACAAAAAGGTTTTCCTACCGCTGTGTACGGAGGGTCGTGAGGGCAGCACCACTCCTCTTGGTCGATCCTGATGGTGTTGATGTTCCTGGCGCTGGTCCAGACTGGATCCTGCGGAGAGCAGAAGATGGTATCTCTGCAGCACAACTCTGGTGTCCACGTTGCCTTGGCGCTACTCCGGATGTTCTGTCCAGGAGGAGAAAGGGGCTCGTTGAGAAACGTCCCATCCAAACAGCCCACCAGATGTCTCAATAGCCCACCAGATGCCTCACTCACCTGGCATGCAGCTCAGGAAGTCCTGTGGGTAAGGTTCCCTGTGAACGCAGTGGAGCAGCCTCCTCAAAAAGCGCTGGACCCTGCCTTCCCTCCGATGTCTATAGGCCCGCTGCACGATGTTCAGGCAGCTCCTCCCTGTCTGCCTAAGCTCTTCTTCCTCGTGGCTGCTGCATCTCTTCAGCCCTGAGTGGCAAGGGAGAAAGGTTGAGCAAGGCAGAGATGCACAGGAAAAGAGCCACCCATCAACAATATGAAAACAGCCGTCAGCTGTGTTTGTGTGTAAGAGAGAGCAGTGAAGTCACATTCCAATTCTCTTTGCATGTTCATCTTGTGGCACCTCTGCCTGAACATACATCTGAGAATTTTGCCTTCCCCTGAAGACCTTTCTCAGCAGAAGCATCCCTCCCTGCCCTCCGTACGTCTCACTCACATGTTCCATAGGATGCCATGTCTTGATTGTGGATGAAACTGGCATCCCGGAAAGCCAGATGACCTAGAGAGAGAAAGAGGCAAGAAAAGGGACGTCATCTGGGTGCAAAGCAAGCGGAGACAGAGGCAGCCTCGGCAGGAGGACAGGTATGCTCTAGAGGCCTCCACCCTCACGGAGCACTCAGAGCAAGATCTGGGCACAGATGGAGGCCTACCTAGCAGGGTGCCTGGGGACATGTCCATCCTCCCTGCCATTGTTACCAAGACGTTTCTGTCCCATCCCTACCAGGGAAGAACGTTGCTTGACTTACCCAGAAGCTGAGCTGCCACCCTGGAGACTTCCGGCAGCCTGTTGGCAGACGGCTGCGTACATGATAAGGCAGCACTCCGAAGGATCTTCTTGCTGAAGGTCTTGCTCTGTGGGCAAAGACAAAGGAGAAGTGGCATCAGAGAGGCTTGAGATCGCAGCAGAAGAGCCTTGCACTCCCAAAGACATGCTTGGGCAAAGCTGCCAACAAAGGCAGAGGGACCTTACCAGAGTGCCTTGGCAGCCTGGTGGAGAGCAAAGTGGAGGCTAAATTTGTTGGAACGAGCCCACCACTTGACTTCTGGGGCTAGATGGGAAAGAGCCCTCCTTTGCGGCCTGCAACACAAGAAGAGAAGAGGGTTACAAATTGCGTACATAGTCTCGGAAGCTCCTGAGAACAATCCCTCCCTCCTACTGCATAAGTCCACCTCTTTGGCCCTCACCTTGGCCACTTCAAGGTCCTCGTCTTCCGAGGTGAATGAGGACCAACAACCAGTTCGTGAATGGCTTCCTCTTCTGTTGTTGTAATATGGGAAGTCTTTGGTCTCTCGCCCAGCCCCGAAGCAGCCCCAGATGTTCGATGGCTGATTCCCGGACGGAGGCTTCCTCCTATAGGCAGAAAATATCAGAGGTTGTGTTTCTCATCAGATCAGGAACACCCTCCTGAAGCCAGAACATCTCCGCTGCATGCCAGTCTAAACCCCACCCTTCCTCTTCCAAAGCATTCCTCCTCCATTGGGTGTGGTGTCATGTTTCCCCTCATACTCACATGGGCAGCCAGGCCGCAGTAGGTTGCCGCCAGCATCTCCAGGTCTTTCTCTCCCAGCTCCCTGGAATGGTAGGCTTGGTCTACCAGCTCTATCAATTCTGGGAGGACATCAGCTTCTACATCAGAGAGGGAATCCCTCAGGAAGGAAGGGTCCTACACAAAAGAGAGAATCTTTTCAAAGGTCTGAAAGGCCTCACGCCTTTTAGCACAGGCCCTTCAGTATTGTGCCAGCAAAAGAGTGCTGGGCCATGATTAGAATCAAGATCTGTACCCCCCCTCCTCTGAGCATCACTTGCCATGTCAGAGTCCAGAAGCAGGGATATCCCTCTGAGACTGAGCTTCCGGACTTCCAGGCAGTCGTGTTCCAGCCAGTTGAGGAGCTGCTCCAGTGTATCTTCACAGGGATAGACCCCAGACGGCAGCTGAGCAGCTAAAGAGGCCCAAAGAGAAAGAAACCCTTCAGGGATAAGAGGCTGAGGCAGGTTCTCCTTTTACCCACCATTTGCAATTCTGCACAGAGCAAACCCACTGAAGTGAATGGACCAAAGTTTGCCATGTACATCAAATCCAATGGGTCTACTCTGAGGAGCACTAAAACAGGCAACAGTCCTTAGGCTCAAAGTAGCCCAACACTCGGCAGAAACCAAGCCAGGGCCTCCTTGCTGCACCCATTTCCGCCCGCGTCAGTCCCCCTCACCTCAATGTAGATAGCTGCCGCGACTTGTGGCATCCCAGGAAATTCCTGGTCCTCGAGAGCAGCGATGATGCTTTCCACCATGGGAGAGATCCACCAGCGTTGTTTTCCGACGGCTCTGAAATGGAGAAGGAGATCTTGGTAAGGAAGGGAAAGACACCGCAGGAAGCAAACGGGCACAGTCCGATCCCGTGCCTTCAGCTCCGTTTGCCAGACCACTGGGGAAGGTCACCGCGTTCTTCCTCTTACCTCACCATGGCAGACAACCCCTGGCTGAAAGTCTCCCGGCAGAAAAGTTGGTCAACGATGGCCGCCTCCACTTGCTCTCCAGTGGTGCCAAGAAGGAGGTGCAGAACTTCCTTAGCCCCTCTGGAACCAAAGCAAGGCCAGTTTTACCAGGAGGGTCATTGGCACACACTCACATTCCTTCCCCAGCAGCCGCCTGAAGGAGAGCCTCCCTTGGAAAACCAAGCTGGACTGGAAACCCCCGAGGCTGAAGGGGAAAGGACTCCATTGGTCCCTTTGCAACACACTACTCACCCAAGGAATTCCTGATAGTAGTGGAAGTTGACAACCATCCCCAGGAGAGCGATCAGCAGCTGTGGGAAGTTCTGGCGCACAGCTGCCTTGTAGTCCTCCATCCTGAGGATGGCGTGCCACAGGCTGGTGAGATGTTGCTGGAAGAGAGAGGGGTGCAAGTCACTTTCTCTGCTTTTCTGCAGAATACAGGAACCCCTCGATATTACCCTGGGAAGAAGGAAGCCAGAAAGCAGGTGGTTGGTCCTTACCACTTGGGTGGCAGATTCCGCCAAGGGGCTTTGGTAAAGCTGCTCGGCCATGAGATGATCAGCTTTTCTGGATCGGCCGATGGTAAAACCTCCTTCCATACTATCTCGCAGTCTCTGTGAATGCAAAAACAAGAGCAATGGTCAGATTCAAGTCTTCTGCTTGCTGCCATGCTCCAGAGAGAGGAAATGGCAGCAAGGGCTTTCTGAGCAAGCCCTGCAGCTTGCCAACCTCCCCCTTAGCCCAGTAGAACCTGGAGGGCTCCATACCCGAAGGGAAACTGGAGTAGATACTGCACCACTTTCTCCAGGTGGTGGTGCGCCAAGATGGAGAAAGCGAAGACGGCCATGTTCCTGCCTTGCACTGTAGGCCCCTGGGCGATCTTATAGAAGGCCTCCAGCAGCACCTCCACCTGTCAGAGAAAAGGAGAGGGTTGCTTGGAGAGTACAAGGAAGCGGGGCTGTCTCCATCCCTCATTGAAAGAGGGACCCTTGACCTGTGCCACCACAGCCTCTTCCTTCCAAGGTACCACTCAGGGTCCTGGGGAGTATTGGTTGCCTCCCCTACACCAAAGCAGAGAATCTTCTTCTCTCCTACCTTTGAAGACGCCTTACCTTCACTTTTGTGCCGCCAAACTGCTTGATGAAATCTTGCAGCAGGTGGGAGATGTCCAAGGGGTCGAAGCTGCTCTCAAGAACCAGGTCTCTGGCCAGGAAGCACATGGCCTCCAAGAGCTGCGCCGCAGGGAGAAAGGCGCCAAAGACCTGAAGCGAGAGAGGAAGGTCAGAGATGCCCACAGGGCAGGGCTGGGAGCAGAAAGCCCAGGTGCTGCCTCTGCGGAACCCAGAACATGTGGCTTGAGAGACAGCGACTTACCCTGACAAGAGAGTGACAGTTATTCACGAACAGCCCAGGAACCGGTCCTCCGGTGGATTCGAGGACCTGCTCAGCTCCGATGATGTGCATTTGGTTCCTTAACGTTCCTGCCAGTGTCTCTGCAAAGGAAAGCCAAAGGGTTAGTTTGGGTCTTGCTCACCCCACCCCATGCTGGGATGCATTCTTCCAGTCTTACCTTGTTGTGCCGCAGGATGGGCAGAAGATGGCAGAGAGCCTCTGCTGCCCGCTGCCTGCTCTCCGGGTCCGGATCCAATGCACAAAGGCAGGAAATCGCCACCAGTTGGCCATAGGAGCATGCATGAATCACTGCCGATGGCTGAGAAGAAACCCAGAGAAGGGACTGATCACCATTTTTCCTATAACATTTTTATTCCAAACATTCCAAAACATTTAGCATCCTAAACCTAAACCCTCTTTTCCTAATGTTTGCTTTTTTTCTTCTTTTCTCAGCCACTTTACTCACTATGGCCCAGCTCTGTTCTCCAAATTGAGTATGTGCTGGGATGCCTGATCGTCCCTTGGGCACCTTGCAGGATGGGCCTAGAAGCAGCAGCCTGAAGGCCTTGACAGCCCTGCATGGTTGCAATGCTTCCCTTCAGTAAAGCCACTTCTGAGCTGGAGAGGAGGTGGGGTTGTGGGCTTCATGCCCTCCCCCCACGTACTCGGGGCTGGCTTGCAGCCCCCGCGAGAGCAGGGAATCCTCGGGCGTGTCATCTCCCTTGCCAGACAATCGGCTGGCCTGGGAGGCGTGGCCCGCGCTATTTAGGGCCGGCGCGCCTGAGGATTTCCCTCTTTCTCCCAGCGCCCCAGCTGCTCCGGTTTTCCCACCCTCCCACCCTTTAGGTTTGGCTCTTTGACATTGCTATGGACTTCGGTTGGTCGCCGACAAGGGGCCTGGTAGGAATTTTTTCCACTTGGCAAATTGGCACCAGCCTTTTGGCTTTTTGCCTACCTCGTAGCAAATCGTCACAACTTCCTCGGCATTGGCGGTTAGGCATTGGTAAGGGTATTGTTATGCAGATGAGTGGGGGGGAGGAAGCGCCATCACCTTCCCCCATATCGAAGGGTAGTCCGGTAAAGGATTCCGTGGGGCGTTGCCCTGTCCGAAGCCTATGGAGGTGTGGGCCTAAGGCATGCCCCCGAGCGGTGACTCCGGGGGAGCTCCTAGTTGATGTACATCAGCAGGACTCCCCCTACTGGTGGTTAACCCTTGCCGGTCTTCTAGCAATCAGGCTGAAGCCGGTTAGTCGATAGGACCAATGCCTAAGCCAATACCACTCAATTCCTGTAATCAATAAAGTTGTGGCCTAATTTTGCCCATTAACCTAAAATACTGGTGTCCTGTGTCTTTATTTCCGTGGGGGAGGCGGGAACTCGCCACGCAACTCACATGTTCCTGGATCTTCTGCAGGAAGGCGCAAAGATCTCGGAGCGCCTTCCTTCGGATCATCCCACTCTTTATTGTTGCGACGAAATCCGTAAGTCTGTTGTTCAGCTGGTCCCTGCTGCCGCTTTCAGGAGGAAGATCAGCCGCATCCAGAGAAGCTGTGGTTGGGATGCTGAGGGGAGACAGGAGTAGCACTTTTGTCAAAAGGGTTTATTGCCTCCCATCCTTCAAAGACCCCAAGCACCACCACCATAGAAATGGACCGGGTTTTTTTTAAAAGCAATTGATTATGGGGGAGGGGATTAGCACAGGATTACCTTGGAGGAAGATCCTCCCCATCTTCCAGGCCGATTTCCGATATTTGATCTTCATCAAAATCAATTCCCTGTCCATGAGAAAAGAGAAAAGAGAAACAGGAACATCAGAATGTGAAGAATGGATCAGACCCATTCATGTTTTTGTGTTCATCAGGAAAGCACAGACGAGGTAGGTTGGGAAACAAACTGAAAATCTCTGGCCTCCATTTCCTTAGAGACCTTATTCATCCTTCTATTCATTGAAGCCTTCGGTTAAGAGTTTGGGTGTAATCCTTGACACCTCCCTTTCCATGGAGACGCAGGTTACAATAGCCAAGGTGACATTTTTCCACCTTCGCCTCATCAAGCAGTTGGTCCCTTACCTTTCCCGCCCCAACCTGGCCACAGTGATCCATGCAATGGTCACCTCCAGGCTTGACTACTGTAATTCGCTCTACGTGGGGCTGCCCTTGAATCTGTCCCAGAAACTCCAGCGGGTGCAGAATGCTGCAGCGAGGCTCCTCACGGGGTCTCTGCCATGGGAGCATATTCACCCAGTGCTTTTCCAGCTGCACTGGCTCCCGGTGGAGTACAGGGTCAGATTTAAGGTGCTAATTTTGACCTTTCAAGCCCTTCACAGCCTAGGACCCTCGTACCTATGGGACCGCCTCTCCTGGTATGCCCCACGGAGAGCCTCAAGGTCCATATATAGCAACACCCTAGAGGTCCCGGGCCCTAAGGAAGTTAGATTAGCCTCAACCAGAGCCAGGGCCTTCTCAACACTGGCTCCGCCTGGTGGAACGCTCTGTCTCATGAGACCAGGGCCCTGCAGGATCTGATTTCTTTCCGCAGGGTCTGTAAGACAGAGTTGTTCCACCTGACCTTTGGCTTAGAATCAGTTTGATTCCTCCCTCTTTCTATTTCCTTTTCCCTCCGTGAAGAGGCTGCATCCTAATGTTTTAATGTTGTATCTTAATCTTTTAAATTGTATTTTAATCAACATTTTTTTATTATTGGTTGTTAGCCACCCTGAGCCCAGTCTTGGCTGGGGAGGGCGGGGTATAAATAAATTTTATTATTATTAGTAGTAGTAAAGGAGCCCCTTTACTACATGGTGGCAGCGGTGGGATGGAACTTCCCTGCAGAAAGGCACTTTGATTTTAAATTGGCACAAATCTTTTGTGTACTAAGGCGTTTTATTTTTGGGGGGGATAGAGATAGTCAGGAATTATGGAAGCCGGGGCTCCCCAGGAATACACTTTGCGAACTGTGGACGAATGGGGTCCGGGTGGAGAAGGCAGTTCCCTTCCTTCGGAGACAACCCCCCCCCCAACCTCCAAGTCCCAGAGTGGAATCCGCCTCCTGGTTTTCGGGAGATCCCGAGTCGGAGAGAGAGAGCTGGTGGATGCCAGCGAATTAAGAACTGTTTGGAAGGGTGGGCAAGAGTCCTGCAACTTGGAGAGAGAGGGGGCGCGCCAGTTAAATTGCACCTTGTGAGGAAGTGGAAGCTGGGATGGCCTCCACACGTCCTAGAGGGAACTATCTTGTTTATGCAGAGCCTAAAGAGATGGAGTTTTCAGAGGGCGATGCGGTTG